ACTCTATCCCAACATTTTCCAAATTGAATTTTCTCTTTAGTTTTAGACTCATAATTGTGCTTTCTGTATCAGTAAGGGCATTTCAGCCTCAGCCCTTCCCTACAAAAGGACACCCCCAACCTGGCTCAAAACCTCCTCTCAAGATGTAATTTTTCTCTCTTTCCCAAATCTCTAAGTACATTTGCATACATTTTGATCATTTCCTCATCTCAATCTTTCATTCCTCGACGTTCAAGGTTGAGGAGAATATCTGCAAATTTGCGAAGAAGGGTTTGACGCCATCACAGATCGGCGTGATTCTTCGTGATTCTCATGGTATTGCTCAGGTGAAGAGCGTCACAGGAAGCAAGATCCTCCGTATTCTGAAGGCTCATGGTATTTTCTCATTTTCTACTTTTTTTTTTCGCCTATTTAGTTTGAGGGCAATGTGGTTGGTGTTGTTAATATTAATAATCTGATCAGGTCTGGCGCCGGAGATTCCAGAGGATTTGTATCACTTGATAAAGAAAGCAGTTGCGATCAGGAAGCACTTGGAGAGGAATAGGAAGGACAAGGACTCCAAATTCAGGTTGATTTTGGTCGAGAGCAGGATTCACCGCCTTGCCCGTTACTACAAGAAGACCAAGAAGCTCCCTCCTGTCTGGAAATAGTAATTCTCTCTATCTCTCTCTCTCTCTCTCTCTCTCTTCAATCTGTGTTTAGTGGCTCTTAATTAACTGCTGATTATGTTGTGTTCTAGTATGTTGATTTGGCCTGACTAGTGTTAGTTCTTAGTGTGCTTATTTCAGAACTTCACTATGGTGCTAAATTTAGGAGTCAGTACATGTGTAACTAATTTTTTAGTATTATATGAGTTTATGATTTTCCGGAAGTTACAATTTTTAAAAATGAAAGCAATGAATTATTCGGGAAATGCACATGTTGTCTAACATGAATTTGCAGCCTGTTGGTGTGAAATGGGCTATGGACGTAAATATGTTAGAGGTGGAGGAACTTTGTTTATGGAATTATGGATATCTGGTAGTTGGAAAGCTTTTTGCAATTATGCTAATATTCCTTATTCTTTTGGAGTTAGCATTGTATTTTCGAGCTACAAATCAGAAAGCTAAGAACTTGGGGAAGGATTCTATATTTTTTTTTTTTTAAGATTAATTGGGACGACTTTAAGGTTGATTAAGCAGGCATTCTCTAACAATGTACTAACGAAAACTAATCTTGACATAAATTTTTGTGTTTCGATTGTCAGCGCTATTGTATTAACGAAACATGTTGCTTTGAAAACTAATAACCTTAGGGGTGTAGACAGATGATATGCAAATAGAATCTTATAGTTTGCTTATAATTGCTGTTTACTGCCCTGTTATATGATGATGGAAAATCTGGGAAACTGAAGTAGGATCGAAAAACTGGGCCCTACTTTATTCAATAAAAAGTGAATTCGTCTATTTTAAGTTAATTGATATATTAATATAATATTTATACATATCTTTTTAGTTGTTCCTACAAGTGTTACTTGTGTCCTATTTAAGATCTCGAATTGATTAATTGTAAGCGGGTTGAAAATTTTGCTATTTAGTTGAAAATGGCTAATGTGTAGCTTTGGAGCCGGTTTTGCTATGGAGCCATCGGATGACTCGGCTTATGGAGCCATCCATAATTATTTACGAATGGTGTATTGACACGTGTCTCCAATAAATACACATTGGACATGTGTCAGACATAAAGTTATGGATGTTTCCATAAGAAAGCCATCCGATGGCTTCATAGAATTTCTGGCTTTGGAGCTTGCACTAGTCTTTTGTTATTTTATTTCTTTGTCCTCCCGTGATCCCATCTGAACCCAAATTCTGCTATTTTGATGAGTTGCTCTTTTCATGTTTTTTGCATTGCCTCGAGTCGTATTTTCCAAATTGTTGACGATCCTTCTTTTCAACAGCGAGTCAACCACGGCTAGCACTCTCGTGGCCTAAGGATTGGTTTCGTGGAGCACTGTGGAATATGGACTGTCATGGTCAATATATCCGGGCAATTTCTCGTATTTTGGCAATTTTATTTTTCATCGGATATGACTTTAAAGGGGACAACAATTTTGGATTTCATTTTTTGCTTTTGTGATTTTGCTCCCTCTTGAGAATACTATCATAATATAACTGGAGTTGGAAATTTGCGGTTATATTTAGATAATCAACTAATTTAAATTGTTTTTTTTCTGAGGTTTGCAAGTTTATTGACTGTAAGTTGCTTTATATGCGATGGGTACTTGTGTTGTTAGTACTTTTTAAGATATCAACATTGTCAAAAACTAGTTTAAAACATGCCAACCACCTTGTCAAATCTCAACTAAAAAAAATCCATGTTTGGGTTGGTAACTTTAACTATAAATGTTTCAATTGATATGTGAACAAGTCTTCATGCAGCTTGATCAATTCAAATAAAAAATATAAATTGAAATAGGAAAAGAAAAATAATATACTTTGATATATTCGTTTGAGATTTTAGAAAGTTTTCTTTGTTAGGAATTTTTGAGATTTCATATGAATTCTTGAAAATCTTAAAACTCACAAAATAAAAAAAAAAAAAA